ATAGAATTAGATTCTTTTCAAATTATTAGAAATCCAGGAATTTTTTAGCCAAATAGGAATTACAGCATTTTTCCCATCCTAGGTTATAAAAAATCTTTTTTATGATATGTTTATGTCACATCCATTTTGTTACTCTATTAATATAAGTTGTTTTGTTTTGTTTTGTTTTTTTGAGATGGAGTTTTGCTCTTGTTGCCCAGGGTGGAGTGCAATGGCGCAATCTCAATTCACCCCAACATCTGCCTCCCGGGTTCAAGTGATTCTCCTGCCTCAGTCTTCTGAGTAGCTGGGATTACAGACGTGCACCACCACGCCCAGCTAATTTTGTATTTTCAGTAGAGACAGGGTTTCTCCATGTTGGTCAGACTGGCCTTGAACTTCTGACCTGCCTCGGCCTCCCAAAGTGCTGGGATTATAGGCATAAGCCATTGCAACTGGACAATATGAATTCTTTTTTTTTTTTTTTTTTTTTTGAGACAGAGTTTCGTTCTGTTGCCCAAGCTGGAATGCAGTGGCACGATCTCTGCTCACTGCCACCTTCGCTTCCCAAGTTCAAGCAATTATCTGCCTCAGCCTCCTGAGTAGCTGGGATTATAGGCATGTACCACCACGCCCTGGTAATTTTTTGTATTTTTAGTAGAGATGAGGTTTCACCATCTTGGCCAGGCTCCTAACCTCGGGATCCACCCGCCTCGGCATCCACCCGCCTTGGCCTCCCAAAGTGCTGGGATTACAGGCATGAGCCACCAAGCCTGGCCAATATAAATTCTTAAGTCTTAACTTTAAGATTTAAGAATTACTCCTAAGGTTACTGCTAAACCTTAGATATCGACCAAAGCAAAAGGATCAGAAAAGAGCAGAAGGTTGAGGGAAGATATGCAGGTCTTTAAACTGTACTTATTCAATAACTGACTTCAAAATTGACAAAAAAAAAAAGGGGGGGGAATGGTTTGCCATTACCTACCCATTAATAGTAATAGAGTACATTTTTCTTTTTTGAGACAGAATCTCACTCTGTCACCTAGGCTGGCGTGCAGTGGCACAATCTTGGCTCACTGCAACCTCTGCCTCCTGGGTTCAAGCAATTCTCCTGCCTCAGCCTCCTCGGTAGCCGGGACTACAGGCGCGTGCCTAATTTTTGTATTTTTAGTAGAGATGGCGTTTTTGCCATGTTGGCCAGGCTGCTCTCGAACTCCTGACCTCAGGTGATCCACCCACCTTGGCCTCCCAAAGTGCTGGGATTACAGGAGTGAGCCACCACACCTGGCCAGTAATGGAGAATGTTCTAAGGCATCCACATGTGTTCTTTTTTAAGATGAGATTGCTAATGATAATTTTTTTCTTTTTTTTTTAAGAGACAGGCTCTGTCACCCAGGTTGTGGTACAGTGTTGCAATCACAGCTCACTGTAACCTCAAACTCCTGGGCTCAAGCAATCTTCCCACCTCAGCTTCCCGGGTAGCTAGAAATACAGGGGTGTAGCACCACACCCAGCTGCTACTGATATTAAACCCTTTAATCCACTGGGAGTGAAACAATGTTATGGTTTGGTTTGACTTGGTAAGTAGGTGATTCACTAAAGACTAAATAGAGCAATCAATTTACATTTACATGTTTTAAAATACAATAATTATTCAGACTGTTCTCAATTAACATGAATTCAAGGACTTGTCTCTTCCTATGAGTGGAGCTAGATTTCCAGGGTTATTAGCGCTTTATCAAATATCAGTATTTAAGGACCACAAAAAATCAGCAGTGTTCAACTACAGCAGCATTTTTATCAGATTTTAATACCATCTTTACATCTACTTTAAAAATCAAGAAAGTTTCATATTAGATATTTTCCCGTCATAGCTACGTTTGCTTTATCACAGTAAATACACCTTCCAAATCATTTAGTTCAGAACAATCTGAAGTTTTCTCTACTTTCAGACTTCATCACTGCTTAATACACTTATATTCTAAACTAATAAATTATAGGAAATATAAACAGTATAAACCCTTCAGATAAGCTGATATCAGAATATTTACTGAAAACTTAGGAAGGGCTAGGCCTTGCAGGAACACAAAGATAAACAAGACCTGTTCCATGTTAAGGAACTAAGCCCACTGCATTCCTGTATAGGTTCCCAAATCCCACTTCCTCCTCCTTCAGTAATCCTGCATTTTTTATGAGCATGTAAGTGTGTCCTCCAGGTAAGTGTCAGTCTCCTCTCCTGTTTGAAGGAAAGAGCTCATTAAGATGCTACTATGAATTTCTTGGGGAGTCCTCTTGTTCCCCTGCTTCTCAGGACCAAGATGGCCCTGAGAGTTTGAGTAGATGTGGGCCACAATTCTCTATTGCCATAGCTAATGACCGTAAAAACCATCTCACACATCTGATGCTTTCTTCTTTTCTCAAGGTGGCTCAAAGTTCTAAACTGATAGAAAAATTACTGCAAGAAACCACTTTGTCTTTCTATTATCATCTCCAAACGAGACTGACAAAAATCTCCAAAAGTCATAGGGGCAGTTTGTAGTGAAAATTTTCTCCAGTGACCTTGCAATTACAGTAGCCCCTGTGAGAAACTAATGTACTTTACAGTTATTTCTCCCCAACCAAAATATTTAAGAAACTTTTGTCAATGTGTCCTGTCCCACATCCCTGGCTTGTCCTCTGAGCAGCTAGCTAAAACCTTGACCAAAAAACAGTTTCCCAAGAACTGATGGCCAAACCTTCTCCAATCATGTCACCCACTTACCCCAATTATCTACCTACCCTGAGGAACAAACTCACTAACCAGGAGCATTCCCAACTGGTTAGCGGTTTTTGAATGATTAGAAAGGCTTCTAATCACCAGAACCTTCTCTTAGGTGTCATAAGACACCCAGCTGCTAAGAAACTCCCAAACAAGGCAATTCAGACCCTGAAGTCACCTCCTAAGCTAACAGAAATATAGGATTCTGGAGGCGTGGATGAAAAGTGTGGAGCCATTAATACACTTAATGTGGTTCCTGGTGCTGCCTCCATGGACTTGACTTTAGGCCTAAGAAACACTTCCTGTATGAAGTGAGGATGTCAGGGTGTTCTGACCATGTGTCCCTAGGGTTGATACAGCTAATCAGGCAGTCCTAGTTCTTCCTTACTGCCCAGTGAGCGCTCCTCCCAAGGCTACACAGGATCTATAAGAACCTTCCCAGTAACAAAGAAATGCTGTTTGGTGAAACATTAAAGGGTACACGTAGCTAAAGCACCTGTGCAAGAAACTCAGCTTGAGTGCACTCCTCTCGGGGGTGTCTACGTGACCGAGATGTTGAGTAAGAGCTGCCTACAGGGTGTCTCAAACAAGAGCAGGGTGGAATAACCATTCTGTTATGAAGCACATCTTGGGGTATGGCCTCTTATAGAAAAACTCTGGCTGAGCATGGTGGCTCACGACTGTAATCCTAGCACTTTGGGAGGCCAAGGCGGGCAGATCACCTAAGGTCAGGACTTCGAGACCAACATGGCCAGGATGGTGAAACCTGTCTTTACTAAAATACAAAATTAGCCGGTGTGGTGGCAGGTGCCTATAATCCCAGCTACTCGGGAGGCTGAGGCAGAAGAATCGCTTGAACCCAGAAGGCAGAGATTTCAGTAAGCCAGGATTGAGCCACTGCACTCCAGCCTGAGCGACAGAGCAAAACTCTGTCTCAAAAAAAAAAAAAGAACAGAAAAACCCTGATCCCATTAACAGGATTCCAAGGTAAAGTCCTTCATACAGTAGCCACATGAAATGGGTTCCTAAACACAGCAAATTAGTTTAGCGAAACTCTCATAACAGTGTTACGTTTAACACACTATACTCCTAGTAAAAGAACGTGTCTATCAACAGAGACAGAATCTAACATTATAATTCTCAGTTACAGACTTCTGAAAACTACATTCTAAAAAAAGCTGGCTTCACTTAAGAACATTAATCGCAAGATCAGATGGAATCACAGCATAAATGAAAAGCGTATGGACAGACAATCTGAAAAAGATGGAACTATCCTTGTTAGAGAAGTGAGGAAAAGTTGCAAAAACTGGAGACATGGAAATCTTATCTAAACCTGCACAGAGTTTAAAATTAGTAACACAGCAGCAGCTAATTAACCCTATATTTTGTTTTTCTTAGATCCGATGTTAAAAGTGCTCTTGCCTATCCTTGAAGCTGAATCTGCCCAACACAGCAGCTTTATGTTAAGGTTACTGTGTGCTGTCAAACTATGTTCCCAGCTCTGCAGGCCCACAGGGCAGAGGACAGGATTTTCATTTGCAAAACGAGAAGCAAAGGATGAACAGCCTGCTTTGGAATTTGATGGGATTAACCCCCACACAAAGCCGTCCTTCAGGACAAATATAGAATATTTGGTCCTTCCCACACACCTTTTAAAATCATCTGGTTGCTTAGCATTTCTAAGTTGAGACTTTTTTTTTCAATTATAAAACAAATAAAAATATACAAGTAACTAACTTTTAAAGCAGTTACCCTAATTATTAGAAGAAACATGCTGCACACATTCTCCCCCTATTTCATTGCTTACAATGCACAAAACGGTGACCTTATCTCTGGAGTCCACTTCAACTATAAATCTTAAGAGTTTGTAATACTGGTCTGGTTCTTGCCACAGGGGTGGGAACTAATAGCAGGAGCTGAGATGTTCATCATTTGGCGTTCTTATATCCCAGGTGAATGGAAAAAGGCAGACAGAAGCAGCTGGCTTTGAGCTATCTATATGGGTGTGCAAATCTATGTGGCACTACCAGTTAATACCAAGTGAAGAGGCACATGAGCTAAGTCAAAAACACACTGACCCACGTGGAAGAATGATATAGTATTCAAGTTAAATAGAACAGTGACATCAATCAAAAGCTATAAATAAATCATTCTACACAGCAAAGCTGTGATGATCTATTGTACTGTGAGCTCACTGTGAAATAGGCTTACTCAACCAGCTCAATGAGATTCTGAGTCCTTTTAGTTCCATCACGAGCCTTACCTGCAAGCAGGTGAACAGAGTTGAAGCTCTTCTCCAGTTTACCCAGAAGTACAGTGAGAAAACAGTCTGAAGAGAGAGAGGCAACATCTTGGGAGCTCTGATCGTAAACTACAACCTTCTGACTGCAATCAATGTCAACCTGAAATGCAAACATGAGGCTTGTTAGGAAGGAAGGTGAGAAAATGATCTCCAACTACTGCCTGAGTAAGATCTCACGTTTACCGGCGCTGAGGCAAATAACTCTTTCCTGTTTTCAATTAATGATTTGAACAAAATGAGATGTGGTCATTTAATGAGATAGACAGCATTCAAAACTCTTAAAAACCAAAACTGATGCTATTTTTGTGTCGGTGGTCTCACAACTCCCTGATTTTAAATCCTTTACACTATAAAACAGTAAAGTTCCTAATGAACCAAACTATATGCAAAATAAACATAACATAACCTTGGACCTAAACAAACATTTTCTTAAAAAATGACTTTTACATCTTAACAAAGGACTCAGTTGTTTATTAAAACATAAGCTCGTTTGCATTTGTGAAGAAACAAACAGCCTTCCCCACCACACAGACAACATTTGAGTATCTGAGGAACAACTTCCCTTGAAGATAATATCGTGCAGTCTTGACTAATGTTACCACATGTGTTATGACATATAAAAAGCACCCCTAATAATCAGTTTCTACTTTCTTTCCAAAAAACTTGAAAAGAATGACTTTCCTTTCAGCAAATTTGTAGATAATATAATGTTTAAATTAATAATTTTAGCAAGCCACAAGAAAACATAGCATTTGTCCAGCTTAAAGCAAGTTAATCCTTCTGCATAGTTTGGAAATATTATTAAATGTGACAATACGGTTAGTAGATTATTTTGAGGTACCACAAGGCACCAAAATTTAAAAAGCAACCAAAACTTCCTCAAATTACTTTCTCTACTTAAAGAGGAGGCTTTAATTAAAACTGTTCCCCATTCAGTATGTCCATTTATTTTAAAAAGGCAAAAAGGAAAGCATTTACCTTATGTTTCGCTGAATGCTGGATGAGCTCTGTAATTAACACTTTGTCCTGTTGCAACCTTCGCTTCATAAGCTTGGAGCAGTTGATATTAATGGCTTCCAAAATGTGGGATGTATTGTATTCCACAAATGGCCGGCTATCAATTAGCAGCACTTTTTCCGTTCCACTTTCCAGCAGAGCCACCAACCTCTCAGTAACAATTTGAGTTCCAATCATCTCATGGGCCATGACAACAATAAGTCCTCTTTTCCCACCTCTTTCTTTAATTTGCCACGATGATGTAATGGTGGTGTGCTCAAAGGCTCAGCCACTCCATTGTACTAAAAGTGTATGAGGTCAGGCTGGTGGTGACTGGCAAAAGGAGAGTTAAACCCATTTTCAGCAAGAGCCCTCCAAGTGAATGTCTCTTTCTCTTTCCCGTTGATGTGCTCTTGCAAAGGACTCCATCCACAAAGCAGCCCCTCACATTTGATTCATAAAGAGATGACTGGAATAACCATTCCACAACAAAAGATGCTTTGGGGCAGCCAGCGCATTACATCATTCTTTACCTTTGCTCCCGCGCTCCAACAGCTTTACACTGGACTGAAAGCCTACGCGGAGAGAGAAAGACAGAAAACAAAACATGAGGTCAAAAAAAGAAGAAAGAGTGTCAGATTAGAGGGAGTGTATGATTCATAATATTTACTCCATTAATCTAATTCCATACTTGATGCACTGCTTCATTTGAACAAACAAACAGAAAGGACAAATCGGTATGGCTTCAGAAAAATGTGCTAGTGGTAATTCCATTTTACCTCAAAACGTAAAAACTCAAAGAAAACGAAACAGACATATAATGAATTATAATCACCTAAGGCTCAGAACTAAATGACCTGTAGTATGGAATTAAAAGGACCAGAAAAAGCTGCTTTAAGTATTATTATTCCAAATAGTGTTCCTTTATTTGCTTGTTTATTGAAATGTCACAAAGAATAGCAGCTGAGGACCAAGTTAGCAAACCTGTGTTATCAGGACAAGAAAAAAAAAATCTTTTCTGAAATGGCTTGAGAATTCCTGTGATGAGTGGATAGGTGTATGTGTGTGCACACGTGAGCTCACACGAGTACCAGGGTACAAACAGCAGCCTTTTAAAACTGCCCTCACGGAGGAGAAAAGATGCAGGACAATTGAAGGTTCTATAAATTTCAGCTATCTTTTGAGAAGGAGGAAGGACAAAAAACGACTGATAATGTTTGTCACAGCAGCTGCTGAGCTAGGGCTGGAAAGTGCCGAAGCTCACAGCCATGAGCCTGGCATGGCTCCTTCCTGCGGCTGCCTCCCTACCCCGAGTTGCTTAAGGCCCTGTAAGCTTATCCTGTACTTTTTCCTGCTTCATTCTTCAGAGACTCACTAATGCCCAGTCTTAAAAAAAATTTCACCCCTTAACCTGGAAATCTAAGTTAGCAACCCGGACATACAGAGCCCTTAAAGCTGGACTCAAAGCTTCCCTTTCTTGCCGAGCTCCTTTAATCAATCACCTTCTCATTAACATTAGTTGAAGTTTTGTGCTTATTGTTTGCACTTCACCTTGACCCTCAACATTTTCAGATTCCTATCTCCCCTGGTCCATCCCTGCATGTACGAAATCCTCTACTACATAAAACTACATGTCTACTTCTGACATTCAACTTCTAGAGGGTAAACTTTTTTTTTTTTTTTTTTGAGACAGGGTATTGCTCTGTCACTCAGGCTGGAGTGCAGTGGGGCAATCTCAGCTCACTGCAACCTCCGCCTCCTGGGCTCAAGTGATTCTCTTGCCTCAGTCTCCCAAGTATGAGGGACTACAGGTACATGCCACCATGCCTGGCTAATTTTTGTACTTTTTGTAGAGACAGAGTTTCACTGTGTTGCCCAGGCTGGTCTCGAACTCCTGGGCTCAAGCAATTCACTTGTCTTGGCCTCCCAAAGTGCTGGGATTACAGCTGTGAGCCACTATTTGATAGCAAAAGTTGCTTATTATATTTCTTACTTCTACAATACTTTGGACATAATATGCTCAATTTATTATTATAGTAAGTAAAATCTTCCCTGTTCCAAAAACAATTTAAAATTCTAAATAAATATTTGATTAGCTAATTTCAGATCAGGATGTCAGAGCCTTTAAAAACCTTTAGGTCATGTTTCCTAATTTTATTCTTACAAATTAGAAGCTAAAGCATGGAGACAGAAGGGGGAGCATGATATAAAGAGAAGCAGCTTTGCCATTTACTTATATAACCTTGGACAAATCACAGAACCTTTCCAAACCAGTTTCTTCACCTACAAAATGTAGACATTATAGTGCCTTGTCTCTTCCAAGTTTGTACTGAGGACAAAATTACCTAATTTATTGAAAGCTGGTAAGCAAAAAAGCAACTATGCATTATAGAGAGACAGGAGGAAAAATGCCCTATAGATGCCAGTGGCAAACAAAGCTGGCTGGCATCTGGTATCTAAAAGACATCACTCACAGATAAAAACAGATGTAATTCCATCCTCTTATAGTGCAGCTGTAACCAAGCTGTGCCCTTTCTCACAGAGCCTGACACACGGGGAGTTAGAAGGCACCTGAGATACCATCTCAATCACACCACATTTTATAAAGCAGCTCCATTTAATACATAATATGTCCACTTACTATTTTCTAAGAAACAACTTTCATTAATGTATTCTTTTTAGTATAGCTTTATGGCCACAAAGTATAAAAGTCATCTCTGTTTTCAACTGAAGGAACTAGAACAGAGAATTTGTCCTAGTCAATCCACTAATAAACTTCTACAAAGCGCCTACCAAGGCCATACCCCTGAATCAGGTTTTGCCTGCTCAGTGACAGAGTTCATGGCAATGTAAGGTCCTGTACTCAGACTGTCTAATTCCCAAACCAGGGCTTCTACTACTAGGTTACCCTGTTTTCCCTAAATACTTGTTCCCATAATGGAACTGGACTGGGAATGAATGATGTGGATTGTCCATGAGGGTACCCAGGTGGCACAGAAAGTGGAAATCTGAGAACAAGAGCAAGTTGATTCCAACAATGGCACTGGGTCTCCGAGTCTGATTGGCTCCTCTCAAAGAGATAAAATCTGGATGGGACAAAGCACTTATCTGGGTTAGCAGATCAAGGGACAAAAGGAGGGAGAAGACAGCAAACATGCAAAAGTTGAATTTAGAAAGTTCTCCTCTTTGCTTCCCCTCAGCCAATTCTCATAAACCCAAAGACAGGTTACAGCAAACAGTTCTACAGAGCAGAAAATGTCATTGTTGCCCAGAGAACCAGAGCGTAGTTACAGATACAAAAAGACCCTTTCCCTGGCCAAGGAAAGCTCTGGTCATAGCGACTCTAACCGAGGATGTAAGTGAAGTGCAGGGGTCAAAGTGAAATGGGGTGAAGTCACACCCTTTCAGTGCTGTACTGCAGCGAGCTGGAGCCATCCTGGTAGGACTTCGTGCCCAAGGTCTAATCTTCTGTAGTCCTAATGGGTTCTGTGGGAGACAGAGCCCCGCCAAGGGATCACAGGAGGGTAAAGTAACAATGGCCTTAACCTCTTTTATTTACACAGAAAATTTTGGTTAAATCCCCATCACTGGCTGTAACTCTAATTTTAAAAATTTCTCTGTATTTACTGTTTTGTTTTCAAAAGCCTTTGCATTAGGTAAGATTTAAAAGATGACAAGAGAATATTTTGCTTGCAACACCACCAAGCTAACCTTACCCAGAATTTCTATAAAGGGAATAAAAATTCTTAGAATGAACCACAAAGGCCCAAGTCCATAGAATAAAATCCAGAGACCAGCTTTGCTATTTATCTATTTTAGTCAACTGTTGAAGTTTTAAATAATTTCTTTAGATTTTTAAGTCGCTACCATATTGATATGGTTCAAAAAATAGTCTAAAAATGTATACATACTATGAACATGTACAGCTTACTGTGTCACTTGTACATCAATAAAGGTGTTTAAAATTGCCATGATACTGAAACTTCAGCGAATACATTTAAATGAAAAAAAAAAAAACCTAAATATATTCAAAATCCTTCTCCTACCTTTATCCTCCATCTGCCTGGGTCCCAACAACCCTGCCTTCTAACTGGTAACAACTTTAGTAGTCTCATCCAATTTATTCCAAAGATTGCTTTTTAAATACAGAATAAGACACAAATATGTACTCTTTTCCATCTCTTTGTTCAAATGGTTACACAGTATAGACACTATTTTGCATCTTGCTTTTTCTTTCACTTACAGTACTTGAATCTGACTTTTTTCAACATTTAATTAGAAAATGAATCAATCTATATTTCTATGGGTCTTGCATATATGCATGTCTGGCAATCTAAATACAACATGCAGAAATTCCTTTTTTGTGTTGAGACGGAGCCTCGCACTGCCGCCTGGGCTGGAGTGCAGTGACGCGATCTCTGCTTACTGCAACCCCTGCCTCCTGGGTTCAAGTGATTCTCCTGCCTCAGCCTCCCGAGCAGCTGGGATTACAGGTGTGTGCCACCACGCCCAGCTAATTTTTTGTATTTTTAGTAGAGACAGGGTTTCACCATGTTGACCAGGCTGGTCTCAAAGGCCTGACCTTGTGATCCGCCTGCCCTGGACTCCCAAAGTGCTGGGATTACAGCCATGAGCCACCATGCCTGACCGAAATTCTTAAACTTTAAAGATGACTCCAGCTGGGCATGGTGTCTTGTGACTAATCCAAACACTTTGGAAGACGAAGGCAGGAGGGATCACTTGAGTACAAATAGTTCAAGATCAGGCTGGACAACACAGCAAGACCCTGTCTCTACAAAAATAAAAAAAAAATTACAAAAATGTACTTCTAAGGGGGAAATTTTGTGTGTGTGTGTGTGTGTGTGTGTGTGTGTGTGTGTGTATACATATGTATAACAATAAAGATTAAAGCAACTTTATATGTCTACATAGGCATATATATGTATATATGTATGTATATGCATATGTATATCTATGTATATGTATGTGTATATGCATATCTATATGTAGACATACACAGATATATATATATATATAATCTCCCCCACTAGAATTACATACCAGAGTACCTAGCAGCTGAGAAGTAATTCATAATAGTGTGCTCAAAAAGTCAGCGAATTAAATGCTGGGAGTCACCACACCTGGCTTGTTTTACGACATCCTAGTTAGAGAGTACCCTCTATAACTACTCTGGCTTCCAAGAAAGTTAAAATGTGACGGTGAGCATTCATGAAGTTACGGAAGTTATCTTCTAAAGGATACCCTCAAGTCAGCAAGGCAGTATTTATCATACTGCAGACGAGGCACCTTAATCAGGACTACTACACAAATAACTGCAAGGTATCCCAAGTTCAAAATAAAGGTTTCAAAAGACTTTAGGAATAAAGATAAACTGAGTCAACATCTTAGTATAATAAAATGATTATACTGATTGTGGAAAAAAATCAGCAAATCTCCTAAAGAAATACCATTTCTGGTTTATTTTACCTATCAGCAAATTGTTTGTGTTTTATATTTTATAATATTTAATATTAACACAAGTTGTATAACAACTTTTCCTTTAATATACAATTTT